GAATTTAAATAAAATTTCATCAACCTTATTAAAATATGTAGGGACTTGGGTCTTCTTGGGTGCAAATCAGTCTAGAGACTTAGCAGCATTTATTAACAGTGAGGCTGCTGAAGGTTTTTAATAATAAAATTACAAATACCCTATCTAATTGTAAGTATATGACTTTTACACTTGGTTTTTAAGGGGAAAAATACTTTTTTTTTCTTATGAGGAAAAGTAACTCCGTCAGAGCACCTTCTGTGATTAGCGCTATTGTATTCTTAAATTTTGATTGATAGAGATAATAGTTTTCACTTAAAAATACAGACAGGTACTTTAACTTTCCATGACAATAGCTATTTGCATTTCTTTTATCTTTTTGTTTAACATTTGTGGGGGTTGGGATGGATTTGATTATTAACTCTTATTGCACACTAAAGGTAAATCTAAAACAAAGGCTTTGTTAGAGCTTCAAAGAGAAAACAGCAAATATTGTTTTTAGGTTTCAACATTTAAAGGCTGTTAAAGGATACCTATAAAATATTTTCACATGACCATGACCAGGGTTTTATTTTTCTGTAAGGTAAGAGAGAGTGTTTTGTTTTGGTTTTTTTTTTTCCGAATGAGATGGGCCAGTGTGGATGGAGTTGCTGGGGGCCATCAGCCTGAAGTAATTTCTCACGGGCAAGTCCTGGCTGGGGTTGCCTGCACCTTGTGGCTCATTTTATTTGTAGTGTCTTAGATCTTTCTTAGTGGAAGGCACCCCAATGTTAGGCCCTGTGATTTGGTGGAGGGTCCCAGAGGGTGAAGAGAAACCAAGTAAAATGTCTCTTGCTGCAGTAGGAGGGGTCACTGGGGAATGATGGGTCCACCGTGGTAGATTTCTTTGATAAAGAGAAGTGAAAGAAATGGAGTAATTGTAAACCAGCAAGCCTGGGCCAAGTCCAAGGTCGCCCGTGTCCCGGAGGCCTGCACTGTGTAACCGTTCCCTTTTCTTCCCTTTGCAGTTTCCTTCCTTCTTCCTTTCTCCCTCCCTCTCTCCCTTTCTTCCCTCCTGGTCCTTTTTCCCTCCGTTTTGCTCTCCTTGTTGCTTTCCTTCTCGTGTTCCCTGTTTTTCTTTCTTCTCTCCCACCTTCCTTCTTCTTTCTGTAAACCTGACTCGGTATTCGAAGTTACTCGAGCAGGGAAGAGGCAGTCTGGGGCCGGTTTCCGAGGGGATGTTCTTGTCTTGGGTGCAGGAAATGAAGTGAACCTTGTATTATAATTTTTCGGCTAGTCACATTTGGGTTGATAGGCTTCTCTTTTTCTAAGAAATCTCTGAAAAACAAGACAGAAAAGCCCACATGAGTTAAGATTCACTAAAGAGGCAGCAATTTCTTGGAAATCGGCCCATTTAGACCTTCTGTTTTCTCAAGCAAAGTATATGTCATTTGATTGGAGAATTTGGGGAAAGTATGGGAAGTTTGAACCATGTTCCTGGACATGAAGAGAAGGGACCCTCTGCCCAGGGAAGAACTCCTAGCTGCCACCTTCCTCGTAGGCCAGGAGCTGGCTTCCACCGTCCTTGTACCCCCAGTGACACTGACGCACAGTAGAGTCCCAGCCAGCATTTGTTGGCTTGAAGCTTGAGAGGAAATATGTTGGTCCTCTTTCACAGTCACTTTTGTAAAATTGTGTAAAGTGAAAAATAATGCAGAAAGCCCCGATGCAGATCATTGCCTTTGGCTGGCATGAAGGAAAAGGGGAAACTACTTTTAATGGCAAAAAAACCAGGGGCGATATTGTTTATTTTTCAGTCTCGTGAAATGAAATCACACCTCCATGCTCACCTGTAGCTCAGTTCCCACTAGGCCAGACCAGGTGGCACTGTGCATTATTTATCTTACAGGTTAAATTGGGGACAGCAGAGACCCACAGACAGTGTGACACTGAAACACGGTAGTAACTAACCTAGTAGGTCTCCAGAGTACAATTCCTAAGTGGTGTGGGGTTCTAAAGGTTGAGGAACAGGTGAATATGTTAAGTTGCCTAACCTAGGAAGGGCAGCTGAAGATTGAAGTCTTGGTCAGGGTGTTCACCGTTATTAATAAACTCAGGTTATTGTTTGCAAATAACACCATTGCAAACAATAGTGAAGAGGCCAAGCGCAAAATAATTCTAGTGTTCAGAGGATCTTAATTATATAGAGAGTGACATAAAGGGAAACAAGTTATTTCTGTTTCCGACATCCCTGCCTCACTTTAAAAACCTAAAACCAGTAGGAAACTTAGAGAAAAAGAAAAAAAATGCCATTCACATGGTGACAGCATTTTTTAAAAAAAGAAGACAAGTGGGCTGGGAGGGAATCTTTTTCTTTTATCTTTTTTTTTTAAACTTAAAAGCTTTAACATAATTTTAATTTTAGCTTTAGCGCTTGTGCTGCCCAAAAGCATTCAGGTAAACAGTTTATAGTTTTGAAAAGTAAAAGAGATAAGATAGTTTAAAAAAAATAGCAACTACAGTTTGGGAAACGGAAGTTTTATGGTTTGGAAAACATGAAAGGCAGATATTTTTTTCCCCCTCGTTGTTGATTTCTGATCCTTGGATGGTAGAAATGACGCAGACTCGAGCCCCAGTACTACACCCTAATTTTCTTGTCTATTATATTGACACATTTCATTTAATTTAGCATGATGGCAAACAGCTGTTGAACTATTAATCTTTTCTCAGCACAGCTAGAAAAATATCTTTTAGATTACTTTGCTAATGTATACTAAAAACTGAATCCAACAGAAATAAATTAATGAGTGGTCAAATGTGCATACACATTAAAATTCATGGAGCTTCAAAATGGAGGAGAACGTGGTTGGCATCCCACTGCCAGTTTTTTATATATAAGTAAAAATTAAATGTAGCCAATTTTGTATTGCTTTAGTAATTATCAGTTGAAGCATCAGTTGTCTGATTTTGTTATTATTTATTTCCCCCCTGCCCTCCCACAGTAGGGTAAAAATGTGTGACAGTGAACCAGCTTGTATTTTTGCTCTGTGTTCACTTATATACTCTACTGTGTATATTGGTTAGTAGAGAAACAGGACCCTTCACTTCCTTGAAAATTGTTTGTAGGTCCAAATGCAGCTCTAGAGATAACTTTTTTCAAAGTGGACATTTTCAGCAGTTTTTTTTTTTCTTTACAAATTAAATTTTAATAAGGTCCAGTGGTTTGCCAGGCCAGTGATCACAGTCTCCTCTGCATTTCAAAGTCTGATCTGTAGATCTGATGGCCAAACATGCAAACGTAGACACAACTCAATAGATTAACATGAAAATCAGTTTAGAGTGCCTTGGAGAACATCTCAAGTAAAAGGGAGGGACAAAGGGCGTTCTTGCCTTGAATTGAATAAGGCCTCCTGAGTTCACTTAGTTTCCATTTAAGGTTGGCTGAGTGTTGAACATGGAAATTTCTGGTGGGTAGGATTATGGCTATGCCCTCTGTCTAGTGAGCGCCTCTTGCTTGTGTGGAGCGGCCCCGCTTTGCAGATGCCCACGTTACCCTGAGGATCTGACCATCACTGCCCTCTGTATTCTTATCACCATTTGCACTGTAACTGAATTCTCACCCCTGGAGAAACCAGTCCTGAGGACACACATCAGCAGTAAAGCACATGATTTTCATTTTCAGTCTGAATTGTTTTGTGTAAAAACAAAAAGGTTTTGGGCAGGTTACAAAATGGTAATTTCAAGTCCCCAAGCTAGGGTTTTCCCCCACCCAAATGGTGAACATTTATGGCGAAAACCTCCAATTTCCTCTTACAGTAAACATGAAAATCATGATTTCACTCAGAGCCTGCATTTTTTTTTCCAATCTTAATGGCAAGAATATGCATGTACTTGCTTGTGGAAATGTCATAAATTGGCCTCAGATCAATCCCTCAAAGATAGTATGCACCAAAGTACCACTTTCAAATTTGAGCCCCAGCGACATAAGATTTAACTGTTCTCCATGGTGTTTGTCTTTCCACATTCAGGGCTGACAGTAGAGGGATAAGCAGGGATATGCTCTGTATAAAATTAAAGCCGTTTCATTACATATTGTTCTGAAGAATGAGCAAAAGGATATTAACACTTTAGTAAAATGATATAATTTCACCATCTTAAACAAAATTTGTAGGAACACTTGGTCAGTTGCTGTGGAATGAATCCTGTGTCCTGTTGGTAACTTGATCTAAATTAATAAACAAATGTTTTTCTTTTGCTTGTACCGTATGCTACCCAGTTACATGGGCAGAAAGAGGCAGCCTGTAATGTTTCTTCGCACATTTGCGTAAGGGAGTATGCAGATGCCGGGGAAGATGTGGATAAAATGTGTTCCATGCTTTTTTTGTGTTTTAGGAAGCTTGATTTCAGTTGTTTATTTCTTCTGACATGAGCCATTTTTATTTAATTTAGTAAACCTGGTAGATATATGCTCAATGGAAAACATTCTGTGAACAGCTTTCAACAACTGATTAACCCCCTCCCGCCCCCTCCCCGCCGAACACCGACTCCTCCCCAAACTGAAGAGTGTGGTGCTTTTATTCATTCTGAAAGGTCCAGAGTGGCAGAAAGCATCTTGCCTACAAGAACTAACTCTTCCTAAGGGGGGAAAAGAAAAACTAAGCCTGTGCTTTAATGAAATTAGAGATGTGGTGGATATTAACCAAACGGAGACATGTTCAAGTAGCAGTCTGGTTTCCAAAAACAAAGACCTATGAGTCATGTATTATTCCACATGAAAATAAATTGAGAGATGATAAGATGAGAAACAGTTCATACACAAAATCTGCAATGTTTCACTTTTACTTTTTCCGTCCAAGTTGTTGTTGTGGTCTTGAAGAGCTCAAAGACATGTGGTCCAGATAAGAGGAGGTCTTGGGACTCGCTGTTATTAACCCTGCCATTTGCCATTTAAATGTAATCGAGTTCTTCTTGCCTCTGTTCCAGACAAATAGGTTGCTACATTGTCTCGACATTCAGATTTTGATGTTCTCTTTTGTTTTCAGGGTGAGAAGTGACCTTTTGAGGTGACTATAACTGAAGATTGCTTTAGAGAAGCCAAAAAAGGTAAATGCAACTATGATGAGTAGCATTATATCTAGGGCTGGATGGATCACCGTGTCTAGGCATCTGAAGTCAGTTCTTACCTGCACATTTGTCAAATGTATGTGTATTTATTTGTGTTTATGTTTTAGCATCTTTTTGGAGGTCTTTAAAGAAAAGATTGCCTTTAAGAAATAGTATACGGGGTCACACTTTACCACCAATATATCAGACTTTTCCTTTTTTTTGTTGAAGGTGAATTTTTTTTTGGCTGTCGAGTTGCTAGGTTTAAAGCCAGAAAGGAATATTTACGTCACAAAAGGGGTGATTCATAAAATTAACTTGCTGCAAACGAGTAATACATGTCAGAGTTCTGGGCTGAAGTGGTGTCATCCAGTTGATGTTCGTGTGGCGGCTTTATAATCACCTTCTTTCAGAAATTAATAGTCAGGTACCATGGCAACACGCCACATTGATGTAACTGCTGGGCAGCGCGGGGCATATCTCTGTGATGTCAGAGCTTGGCTGCCTTGTTCTCTTGACCTTGCTTGAAAATCAAATGAGTATTTGATTTTAAAAATTAGAAGTTTTCAGAGAGACTAATGGTAGCTTGCTGAATGAAAGCTCAATTCAATTTTCTCAAATTCATTTTTGGGAGGAGGGGCCAAAGAAAAGCAGTGGATCCAGTGGTTATGGATGTTACACATTTTCTTGATTCCGAAAGTGTCTGTTCAGTGAGGGCAGTGGCCATCTCACACAAGTTATCTTTCAGGTCATTTTAAGTCTAATGTTTCTCAAGTAGCATCTTCATGTCATTTTAAAATTTTGGCCAATGGTAGTTTGATGCATTTGATTGGGTAGACTTGTGTCTATTTTAAAACAGGTTCCTTGCTGGCCTGGCTGCACAAAGCCTGGGCTGAGACCTTAAGAAATGAAAGTTTATGAATTTGTAAGATACTAATTTCTTACTCTTCTTACTCTTTAGTTGACCATTGCTTTTCGTGGAACTTTCGTAACATGCAGATTCTTAAATCAGTTTTAAAGCATCTTGCCTACAAGAACTAACTCTTCCTAAGGGGGGAAAAGAAAAACTAAGCCTGTGCTTTAATGAAATTAGAGATGTGGTGGATATTAACCAAACGGAGACATGTTCAAGTAGCAGTCTGGTTTCCAAAAACAAAGACGTATGAGTCATGTATTATTCCACATGAAAATAAATTGAGAGATGATAAGATGAGAAACAGTTCATACACAAAATCTGCAATGTTTCACTTTTACTTTTTCCGTCCAAGTTGTTGTTGTGGTCTTGAAGAGCTCAAAGACATGTGGTCCAGATAAGAGGAGGTCTTGGGACTCGCTGTTATTAACCCTGCCATTTGCCATTTAAATGTAATCGAGTTCTTCTTGCCTCTGTTCCAGACAAATAGGTTGCTACATTGTCTCGACATTCAGATTTTGATGTTCTCTTTTGTTTTCAGGGTGAGAAGTGACCTTTTGAGGTGACTATAACTGAAGATTGCTTTAGAGAAGCCAAAAAAGGTAAATGCAACTATGATGAGTAGCATTATATCTAGGGCTGGATGGATCACCGTGTCTAGGCATCTGAAGTCAGTTCTTACCTGCACATTTGTCAAATGTATGTGTATTTATTTGTGTTTATGTTTTAGCATCTTTTTGGAGGTCTTTAAAGAAAAGATTGCCTTTAAGAAATAGTATACGGGGTCACACTTTACCACCAATATATCAGACTTTTCCTTTTTTTTGTTGAAGGTGAATTTTTTTTTGGCTGTCGAGTTGCTAGGTTTAAAGCCAGAAAGGAATATTTACGTCACAAAAGGGGTGATTCATAAAATTAACTTGCTGCAAACGAGTAATACATGTCAGAGTTCTGGGCTGAAGTGGTGTCATCCAGTTGATGTTCGTGTGGCGGCTTTATAATCACCTTCTTTCAGAAATTAATAGTCAGGTACCATGGCAACACGCCACATTGATGTAACTGCTGGGCAGCGCGGGGCATATCTCTGTGATGTCAGAGCTTGGCTGCCTTGTTCTCTTGACCTTGCTTGAAAATCAAATGAGTATTTGATTTTAAAAATTAGAAGTTTTCAGAGAGACTAATGGTAGCTTGCTGAATGAAAGCTCAATTCAATTTTCTCAAATTCATTTTTGGGAGGAGGGGCCAAAGAAAAGCAGTGGATCCAGTGGTTATGGATGTTACACATTTTCTTGATTCCGAAAGTGTCTGTTCAGTGAGGGCAGTGGCCATCTCACACAAGTTATCTTTCAGGTCATTTTAAGTCTAATGTTTCTCAAGTAGCATCTTCATGTCATTTTAAAATTTTGGCCAATGGTAGTTTGATGCATTTGATTGGGTAGACTTGTGTCTATTTTAAAACAGGTTCCTTGCTGGCCTGGCTGCACAAAGCCTGGGCTGAGACCTTAAGAAATGAAAGTTTATGAATTTGTAAGATACTAATTTCTTACTCTTCTTACTCTTTAGTTGACCATTGCTTTTCGTGGAACTTTCGTAACATGCAGATTCTTAAATCAGTTTTAAAAAAAAATGTCTCCCAGGGCTTTTCAGTTCTAGAATGCATTATAAAGGTATGGATTTGTTTTTATAGTTGCATTCTGGCATCTTTGATGGGGGTCAGATAATCCAAGTTGCCTCATTTCAGGGTCTCTATTTAAATTAAACCTTTGCGGGGAGCATCTGGTTGTCCTCCAAAGAGAGTGGTCCCTTTCAGATGTTCCAGTGTGGAAAGGGTTCATCCTCATGTGTTATCTAGTCCTCGAATGGCTCTTGGCAAAACACTTCTCTTTGCTGAGATTCAGTTTTCCAGTCTTAAAAATGAGGGTTTTGGTCTATTTCTGGGACCTGCAGACGTTTTCGTGAAAAGGGCCATGTAGTAAGTACTTTCTGTTCTGTGGGCCATTCCGTCTCTGCCACAGCAGCTCAGCTCAACTTCAGCAGTGGCCCCGGGTTTCTGCGACCCCTGTGAGATCTCCGTCCAAGGTGCTCCCCGTGCAAAGCCGGGTGAGGTGTAATTACTCATCTCGAGCTCTTTGCCAAGGCTTCTCGTGAAGCTACAAGCTGTGATGACACAAAGCTGAAAAAGTAACTGAGAAGTTGAAATATTCGGCTCGAGAGCTCTGTCATCCATATGGCTCCAAATAAGGCCTTTATCTGTCGCTTTTCATTGTTTTCTTTGACATCACCTGTAAGCAGAAATTATTTTTCTTCCGACTTGATGTCTTTATAATGACCGCGCTTACATGCATGACCTGAAAATGGATGCATTTGAATTTGTACGATGTGATTTTTTCCCCCCAATTCTGTGATGTTGTTCAAAGTTAAAAATACCATGAGTCAAGGGCAAGTTTGGAAAAAACCCAAGTTTCCAGGAATTTGTCATTAGTGTTGACTAAGAGAGGTAGTCCATGGGGAGAAAAAAGTGTTTCTTTCATAATTACTGTCAAGGACATGTATTATTTTCTATAATATCCTGCAAATAGGAACTCTATATCAAATTTCAGGAACATAGAATTTTCTCCTGCTGATGCCTTTCTTCATGACATAACGAAAGCTGACTCACAAGTTCATATCATTTTTCTTTGTTACTTGACTGCTAGGAAGCTCAAAGAGTTTTTGCTCAATCTCTGTAGTTTTTTTTAGCTTCAACTTTTTGTTGTTGGCATGTTTTTAAATAAACATCATTTTTTCTACTCCCAGTTAAAGTATTATTTACCTTCTTTTCTGCTACAGTATCAATTCCATCTGTGCTTTGACTATTTAAAACATTTTTTTAGAAGTAAAGTATATACTCAAATTAATAATAAGCTCCATGTAAATTTTTTTACCTTTTAACAAGCTCAAGGATCCTTTAAAAACTAGTCCTTATATGTGTGGATCTCTTATATATAAAGGGGAAAAAAAGGTTTGTTCAAAATGTAAAAATCTAAAAAAGATATGTAAAATGGTTAGTGTTTCTTCCCAGTGAATATACTTTAAACAGAGAGGATGATGCTCTTAACCATGGTCAAGAATCCAGCACCATCTTCCACACTACAAGAAGGATGTGGATTTAGGGTGCCAGGAGCTTCTCAGTAAATGCCATGCCAAAATTTGAAATCTGGGAATCATTAGCAGCGAACAGATGCAAATAAATATGCCTCCCTTGACACTATGGGAAAACCTGGCTAAGTGCATAAAAGGGGTCAGCAAATTCAGAAACCCAGATGAAGTCATTTTTCATATTTAGATGAAAAGGTCTGAAGAATCATAATTAACAGTCATCATATTTGTTAGTGCTATGACAGTTTTTTTCCAAGTAGATCCGAGGACTTTACAACATGGATCTGGCTGCCAGCATTCCGTTGTTAGCAAATACTTACTATATTCCCACTTGACAAACCAGGAAAGCGTTCCCTAGGTGATTAGTAACCCAAGGTCATCTAGAATGTCAAGACTAGAGCAAAAAGATCACTTGCTCTGGTCACAACTAAATCAATGTCATTCTCTCACGGCTGTCTTGGTGTGGTGACTTAATAAAAGTTTATACGTCATCTCACTCCTTCCCCTCACCATTGGGATTTACCCACAAGCATTTTTGCTTAAAATTAAAATCCAGTTTGTGAAATTTCATCTTGTGTTCATTTCTGATTGGCACCGGGAGTTAATAATCGTTAAGCCCATACGGATTACAATTAAATGGCTATTTTTACAGCTAATAGCTATCTTTAGGCATCTTCAGGCTTCATCTTCAAGCTACATACCACACCTACACATGCAGATATTTATTGATGATTATGTTCTAGGTGAAGTTATGTAAGAAGGATATGGTCTCTGGCCTTGTAGAATGTATGTTGTATTGGGGAAGACAGACAGTATAAGTGATGATGGTGAGTGTCAGGAAGGTACCTATTTAGCAGCTACAGCATTATTGAGATAAAATTCACACACAATATGATTCACCCATTTAAAGTTTACTGTTCAGTGGCTTTTGGTATATTCAGAGAGTTTG